CATCCTTCTGGCCACAGGCTTGCACGTGCACCGTAGCAGTGCTCACAGTGCTGGTGTGGGCTCCATCTTTGACAGGTATGTGGCCTGTTCCTGTCATCCCTTAGCAGCAATGGCCAGGCTGGCTCTGTCTTTCCCCTTTGGGAAACATGTCCTTAGTGAAAACTAAAGCAAACACATGGTGATCTGGGGCAGAACTAGCTTAGAATGAGGAGGAGATGCTTGAATGGCTTAAAAACCAAGAATAGGGTGAAAGCACCTTGGAAAGATTTACAGCTGCAGAAGCAGATCTTTGTGTGTGCAGGGGGAGGAATGCTTCTCTGCCTTCTCTCAAGAATACTGTGAATACTCAAGAATACACCTCGAATACTGGGTTCAGTTTTGGGCCCCTCACTACAAGAAGGTCGTTGAGGTGCTGGAGCGTGTCCAGAGAAGGGCAACAAAGCTGGTGAAGAGTCTGGAGAACAAGTCTTACAAGGAGCAGCTGAGGGAACTGGGGTTGTTCAGTCTGGAGAAGAGGAGGCTGAGGGGAGCCCTCATTGCTCTCTACAACTACCTGAAAGGGGGTTGTGGTGAGGTGCGTGTTGGTCTCTTCTCCCAAGTAACCAGCGATAGGACGAGAGGAAATGGCCTCAAGTTGCACCAGGGGAGGTTTAGACTGGATATTAGGAAAAATTTATTTACGGAGAGAGTGGTCAAGCATTGGAACAGGCTGCCCAGGGAGGTGGTGGAGTCACCATCACTGGAAGTGTTCAAAATATGTGTGGATGTGGCACTTCAGGATATGGTTTAGTGGGCATGGTGGTGTTGGGTTGATGGTTGGACTTGATGATCTTAAAGGTCTTTTCCAACCTTAATGATTCTGTGAAGAGTTTGCCATAACTGGATCTAGAGCTAATACTGATCAGCAAGAGCTTTAGCTGGCAAAGTCTTAAACCCCAACTTGCTCATATGACTGCACACTTACTGTCTATGCCATGCCTGCAGCCTGCTCTCTGCATGGCAGGACACTGCATTACCACTCTTACACAACTGGCCTGTGTAATGGCAGTGCCCATGTTTTGCACAGTGAAATGTGGAGAAAAACCCATGTAGTTTTCCTTAAGTGAGTGCAAATTATTCTCTGTAGTCCAAACAGAGCACAGAGCAAAGTGAGAATGGGAATGAATTTGTGCATCAGCAACATCCAGGGACCAGAGCATCATGTAGAAGAGCAGTATGTGGCATGGCTATCCCTCAAACCTGCCTCTTTCTGCAGAGAGGAGTTGGGGGGTACCCAGTGCCTGTCCCAGATGCTTTTCAGCCACCAGCCTCGCTGTCTGTACCTATTTCTGATTGTCTGCCCACCCATGTCGCCCACGTGCAGGGTTTTGACAGAGCTGGTGTCCAAAATGAAAGACATGCAGATGGATAAGTCGGAGCTGGGGTGCCTGCGAGCCATTGTCCTGTTTAACCCAGGTAAGTCTGAGGCCCCGGGGCAGTCCCTCTGGGCCACAGCAGGTCACAGGCAGGACGACTGTGGCAGTGAGCAGCAGGACTGCAGACAGATTTGTCCCAGTCCCTGGGTGTATGATTAAAGAGAGCCCAAGTCCTCTCCTGCCCATGCATGCAGTCACTCTCCTGGTAGCAGAAAGGTCCCCTCTGTAATGATTTCTTCCCTACCTGTATATTCTCCCTCGTCCAGATGCCAAGGGTTTGTCCAGCCCCTCAGAAGTGGAATTGCTGAGGGAGAAGGTCTACGCCACGCTAGAAGCCTACACAAAGCAGAAGTACCCCGAGCAGCCAGGGCGGTGAGTGTCCCCAAGCAAGGCAGGCACCTGAGGGCAGCACAATTCCCACCCTGGAAAGGGGAGACTGAGGCAGGGGTGTCTGTGCTAGCTCTGCCTGAGCCACCCTGGGCTGGAGCCCCTGGAGCTAAGCAAGGGCAGGACACTAGCCAAAATTGCCTGAGCAGCACAGCTGCCGCAGGCTGGCCTATCCTCTCGGAGCCCTAATCCTGGGCCAGAGCCCTTAGAGTGCTGGTGAGGTGCAGTTTTCTTGCTTTTCAATCCAATCCTACCCTCTACTGGCCAAGATCCCAAAACGCGGGCAGCCAGATCCTCGGCACCGCCAGCCAAGTGATGCGCCCACAGCATCTTCTGCTATTTTTGGCTCTGGATGTGACCGCAGAGCGCTGCAAGTGGGACGTGGGGAGGGGAGGCAGTCTGCCTGCTGCACCCCCTTGCAGCTGCGCCTCGAAACACGAGGCAGTGCCTGGCAGAGGCACTGCTGAGGGGCTGTGCACCCTCTCTGGGGGCCAGGGATTTTTGAAGGCTGTTTGAAGAATTTAAATGGCACTGTGGAGATGTAAGTCACCAGTCCAAGTCTTGGAGAGAAAATCTGGATGTATCTTTTTTCTTTTTAAGTTTTAAAAATGCTGAATTCTGTTTTGAAAAGATACATATTCCCTCCACACATGTGAAGAGAAATGCTTATTTTGAAAGCACAGAGGAATCTCACTGAGAAAATGCTTCCCCAAGGCATTTTTGGGGAGGATTTGGGCTCTGCTCTCCTGAGCCCCTGGTGCAGGCTTGGAAACACATGGGAGAGGGGGGCCAGTGCCTCCTGCATGCCTCTCACTCTGCTCTATTCCAGGTTTGCCAAACTCCTCCTGCGCCTGCCAGCGCTGCGGTCCATCGGGCTGAAGTGCCTGGAGCACCTCTTTTTCTTCAAGCTGATTGGGGACACCCCCATCGACACCTTCCTTATGGAGATGCTGGAGACACCTCTGCAGGGCACTTAAGGGTCTGGCTCCACTCTGGCCACACCCTGGCCCCTGTGCTCCTGCACAGCTTCCCACCCCTCTGCTCTGGGCCTACAGGAGCTCAAGAGATGACCTCCACCCTCCGCTCCTCCTCGGTGGGATCGTTGTGTTTTTGTACAGCTTGTAAATCACCCCCTCTAGCCTTCCCTGGCCTGGCCATGGTGGGTCGCAGATCCTCTGACCAGCTAACCCCCTGTACAGATAATTGCTTTAAATTATTTTTTCACTCTCAATAAAAGCCAACAAAACAAATAAAATAATGAGGCAGGCACTGATTTGAGCTGGCAGAGCAGTGTTGTCTTTTGCTGCGGTCACAGTTCTGGCTTGGTGTGGGGCTGAGGGACCTTCCCAAGACTCTTGGGCAGCCCAAATCAGAGCAGGAATATCACTCTGGGGATAGTTGTGTGTTCTGATGGTCATAGTCCTCTGGCCAAGTGAGAACAGGTTACTGTTGCCTCTTGCTCCTGCTAAGGAAAGACCTGGAGAAACTTGCTGCTTTGAACCAGAACATTTCACTCTACCATCTTAAAAAGAAACTCTTGGACTCTTTGAATTTTTTAGGTAATTTAAAAAGTGACTTTTTAACGTGCTGCGCTTTTTTTTTTTTCTCCCCCTGAGCTAGTCTAGCCACAGAGAGAAGAACCAAAGTGCTTCATTCTGGATGAGGTGGACTATTTTGGAGTTACCTAAACCTGATGTGCTCATGGATAATTTTCATTTTTCTGAAACTTCATGCATCTGGTTCTCAGACTCCCCGCCTCCGCCACTGGAAAAAGGCTCTTCAACCCCAAATTTGTAATCTCATAGCTCCATAAATGAAACTTGCAGGCAGGGAAAGCACAAGACACTCTAACAAAAACCTGCCTCAAAGGTACTGCCTGGTCTTTCCCCTGCTCAAATGGCACTGCTGGAGCTTCCCGTTGCAACCCAGCTAACCAGAGTCAAATGAGTTAAAGACATGAATTTGTTCAATACATGGAGCTTATTCTGGTGGGAAAATGTCCTCCCAGGAACCCAGCAAAACTGCCTGTATTATTATTCATAAAACAGGTGTAGTGTTAAGTGATCTGCCCCTTCTGACCCTCTCAGCAGACAGTGCAGTGAGATGCAGCCGTGCTTCATCTGTCCGCGTGACAGATTGCAATGCTGCTGCTCGGCGACTCAGGGAGGTTTGGGGGAAAGGAGGAGTGACAACAGGAAAGAAAGAGGATAAAAATGAAACATTTTGTTAGAACTCCCACATGGGGCTATGATTCATTCTCCAGTATTTCATTGTGAAAAAGAGAAAATGAGAATCAAAAAAGCAGGAGAAAGAAACAAAAAATCTAAATTTATGGAAACTAAAATTAATTTTCTTATGATACTGGAGAAAAAAAAAACAGGGAAAAATTCAAGAGAGATGAAAAGCATTGCCCAAGGGGCTATTTTTAATTGAAAGGGTAATTTTCTGGTAAAAGGGAAGTGTTTAAAGACACAAACTATTCAACCTGCTTATTGTAAAACCTTTGCCAGAGTGTGAGAGACTGCATGCAGACTGTGCTGGGGTGGTACCTGCACCATGCTGCTGGTTAAACAAAGCAAGAGGTTACCTCCAGCCTGGGTGGCTACAGGCTTCCCTGTCTATGAGCTGTCGGCTTCTGAGATCTGGTCCCCAGCTAGCTGGGTTTGGGTTTCTTTTCTGATTATAGAGCCCTGGGTTTCTCTTGACCTGTCCTCTTCTCAGGTTTGATGATTTAAATCAAGGAGGTTGGCTGGCATTAACAGGCTTAGCGAGAGGGGGGCTCCAGGAACTGATGCCACTCTCTGAAGATAGACCATGTGGTATTAATGCTTTTTGTTGAAATAGAGGAAAACCTGAGGGTCCTTATGCCTGCAGCAGCCCTCGTGCTAAGATGGTGTCTGCGTGCTATCGTGGAGCCCTGCAGCGCTCAGTGGTAACTTGGAGTGGGCTCTGGGGTGAGCTGCTGCAGCCTAGTGGGCTGAGCCAGCTGGAGAGGACAGGATGCTTCCACACCAATAGTGCTGACTCTTTCAGGAGCTCACAGGCTCTCCTTGGGACACAGTTGTGGTAGCTGTGATCCTAAGCGTTTGCATGGAGCTGCAAGGTTGGAGTTTAGCTTGGCCAAGACATCCAAAAGTGCTTTGGGCCATGCAATAGAGGTTTAACGTAGATAAGTGTGATGCCTCGTGGTAGCTTCATTAGAGTTCGTGATGAGGGATTCAGAGTCCCTGATATTCCACAGTGGCAGAACAGCCCAACATCTTGGCAACGGAGTAAAATAAACTGGACAGAAGAGCAGGATCCAGCACCTAACCCAGATGGCCCTGCACGTGCCCACTGCAGTCAGTGCAAGTAGAGCTTGCCAAGTCCCGTGAGCGATTCGCCTGGACTGTCTTGATGCTGATTTCAGTCCACTGTCTGCAGGCAAACCCAGACCATGGCCTGCAATATGAACAGTTGCTTTTTGAAGTTGGAAGTGATGGGATATGATAACCAAGACCGGGGTAGGAAGACTCAAAGTGGCTGTTCGTGGCTCCCGGACACCCCTACTTTTAGCAGTCCACCCTGAGAACCTGGAAAGTTGGTCTCTGGGTTGTGGGCCACAAGGTCTCCAGGTTGCACTTCGAGCAGGGTTTGTTCTCTCTCTCCAGATGACTCATGAGGTTTTTTGGTTTTTTTTTAATTTCACATTCTTGATCATCTGCTTAATGCCCACCCCACCACACACTCCCCCACCCTGTGTTTGGTAAGACCACGAGACACGGAATATGGCCTCTGTAAATAAGAGACCGCTTGCTCGTCTGGAAGCGTCGCTAGCAGAGAGCTGTCCTATGCAGAGGAATGGAGTCACTGAGCAACTGAGCTCTAGCTGTGATCATCACAAACCTGAGGTTTGATGTAATCTCCTGGATTTGGTCCTAAGCCTTGGGTTCTTTGCTCATCTTGTGGGCCTCTATACAATGGTGTCAAAACGCTGCCCAAGAGCGGTGCTTCCCCTAGCTTTGCAAAGCAAAGGGGCTAGTCTCTACAGCCACCCTGAGGAGCAACTCCCCCAACAGTTAGTAGTAACTCACTGGAGTAGTTTTCCTTCAGCGTGGATTGCTGCAAAACAGCAGCAGCTTGGCATGGCTGGAGCTTGCCCAATCTGCAGCCCTGCAAAAACCTAATTTTCATGAAATAGTAGAAATCACAGTAATGGATAAGCCAAAGAAAACTTCTATCCACGCACGTATGTTCAGCCCCATCTTGTGTGGAGTTACAGCTGCACAAAGAATTAAAGAATAGCACTGCAGAACTAAAAAATCAAGAAATACCAAGTTAACTCTCTTCCACTGTAGGCATTTTTCCTTGCAGACATATGTCATGATGGTGCCTTTAAAATCCAGGCATCAGCCACTTTTCAGCCCTAACGAGAGCACAACGGGGTCCGGCTACCTACCCTTCCTACTGAAACCCGGCTCCTCCTATCTCCTCTGAATTTTGCTCTTGCCAGATTCCAGTTGCTGGGTCTTGCCACCTCTTTTTCTGAAGATCCAGACATTGGTTTCCCCATAAAAACCCTCATAGCCTCAGATTAAGCTCTGACATTTTTTTCTGTGCTCTGGGAATAAAAAAAAACCCCCAGGCTCTGGGAGTGGCAAAGTGTCATATTCTCTCTCCCGCTATACATCACATCTCATGAGCCTTCTGAGTTAGCAGCAGGTTCCCCCCCACCATGGACAACCTTTGTTTTAATGCACAGGCCAGACGTTTCAAAGCATTTATTAATTCTGAGCTCCTCGCTCTGTAGTGCTCCATGAAGGGGACTTAAAAAAATGGTGGGTTTAGCCACTTATGATGAGGACCTTGGAAAATGAAAAAAATCCTTCATCTCCATTGCTTGTGCTGAGCTGGATTTGTTTCTTGCCCAGAAATCAAGCCGGTGTGTTTTCCTGCCCTGCCTTCGTTTGGGTTCTGTAGTGGCTGCTTCAGTTTTTGGTGAAGTTCAACAATTGCGGTTCTGGATTGGGAATAAAAAAAAAAATTAAATCCTAAACTATAAGGATTTGAGCTGGTTTGCATTCAGTTCAGCTCTGGGCTCCCTGCTGAATTTAGTGGTTCAAGGGCACATCCTACAGACCCCGGGTGACTTTCAGACACATGCTCACGGCGTGACTCAACGGGGTGCCACTGGCCTTTCCTCGAGGACCTCTTGTCTGGGCCAGACCCTGGATTTCTGGACTTCTGATGCCCTCCACCATCCCACCTGAGCTCCCCGGAGATGTTGTCTTTGCTGCCTGGTTTCTCTGCTTGTCCCCTTTCTATCCCTCCCAGCTCTCTGCTGTCCCGTCAAAGGCCATCAAAAAAAGTCCCATCAAAAGGTGGGGAGGCTGTGCTGCCTTGGTACCCCCTGGAGCACCAGAGGGCATGGGAGGAGGAGGAAGAGGAGGAATTATACTGATTAGGAGACCCTTGGGGCTCTCCAGAGCTGCTGGTGGCAGTGGGAAGCAGTGTGTGTATCCTCTTTCAGGGGGTGACGGCTTTTATTTCACGGCGAGGTACATCATGGTGGAAAAGGATGATACAAAGAGAGAGAAGCCCTGATAAATGTCCAGGCGTTTGTCAGCATCGGTGGACAAGGACCATTCTATACCTGCGTGAGGCCAGTGGCTGCCACCCCACACCTCTCTCGTCTCTCCTTGTGCCCTCTGTGGAATTAGCTTTACCCGAGACAGGCATGGTTTGGGGGATTTCAGTGGTAAAGGGAGAGGATTTTATCACCCCGGGGATACTGGACAGCGTTGTGGCTGTGGGCTTGATTTTGGGCTTGCCTCTCTACCCAGGGCCAGCCCACCCGGCCGGGTGTGCAGCAGCTGATGCCTGTGAAGGGCTGTGAGCGTGGAGGAAGGAGAGGGTGGTGTAGAGGGATGTCTCGGGGTGGTGGGCAGTGCTTTCTCTGCTGGGTCAACTTGGCTTCAGGCATTAAAGGCACCCTGACGATGCTAGGCATTGTGATGCCCAATGCCTCCTGTCCCAAGGGAAGTGGCTGGAGTGTGTGTAGGGAGCACAACTCATCATCCTCCTCATCTTCTTTGGTCTCCTGTGTGCCTGCTTCTGGGTCTAGCCCTCCTCACTCCTGTGTGGTTCTGCATCTGCGTTGCTGGGCAGAGTTAAGGTGATGTTGGAGGAAGGACCTGGCTCCCTGCTGTCTAGGACCACATCTGTTGCTGTGACTGTGGTTACCGACCCTTGGAGCTGAGTACTG